TGAAGCCTACTAAACTGTGAGAAAATAAATTCCTGTTTGTTAAAGCCATCCACTCGTGATATTTGTTATAGCAGCACTAGACAACTAAGAGGAATAAACTAAAAAACAAAGATATAAAGAAAAGATCAACAAAGACAAAAGATTATCCTGAAGACACAGATAAAAATGGAACTCTGGGGAGAATGATAAGAATAAAGACAGACGGCATGAGTAAACCATGTTAGGAATGGAAACAGCATGTTAACTTTTATTAAAAAAAAATCCATTATCGTCAAGTCGATTCCAACTCATAGCATCCCTAGAGGACAGAGTAGAACTGCCCCATAGGATTTCCAGGGAGTGGCTGGGGGATTTAAACTGCTGATCTTTTGGTTAGCAGCCTAGGTCTTAACCACTGCACCTCCAGGGCCCCACTTTTATAACAGAGAGTAAAAAGATAGCACAATAGTCCTTATGCTGCAACTGATCATGCAGCTGGCACAGGACCAGGCAGCATTTCCATCCATTGTGCATAGGATTGCCATGAGTCGGGGGCCGACTCCACCACAGTTAACAACAACAACAACGACTTGCTCTATTAGATGTTAAGACTTGTTATAAAGCTATAATATTTAAGATTGTGTGGAAATGGCACAGGGCTCGACAAATTGACCAACAGAGGAGAGATGTCAGAAAACAGTGCCAGGCGTATATGGAACTTTGCTATGTACCTGAAGTCACATTGCAGTTCCATGGGGAAATGATGCCAGTACAACTGGGGTATCCATGAGGGGGGAAAGTAGATTGACATCACGCACAAAAAAATGCTTCCCGATGGATTGAGGATTTAGGTGTAGAACAAACTTTAAAAATATGAAAAGAAAATATAGTAGAATAGTCTTCTGACCTTGGATGAGGGGAGGGTTTCTTAAACAAGACACAAAGAGCTCTAACTGTATAAGATTAATACTTTCGACTTCATTAAGATTAAAGCCTTCTGTTTATTCAAAAACACCGTCAAGAAATTGAAAACACAGGCCACAAATTGATAGAAGATATTTGCAATACATATAGTGAAAAAGGACTTAATATATAGACTGTTTTAAGAATTCCTTTATAGCAAAAAAAAAAAAAAAAAAACCCAAGGAACCCAACAGAAAAAAGAACAAAAGATACAAGCGTTAATTCAAACGGCCAGTAAACATGTGGCAAAAAGTCCTCAAACTTATTAGTAATCACGGAAATGCAAATTAACAATGAGATACCATTAGGTACCCACTTGACTGGCAAAAAGTTAAGGCTGACAGTGGCAAGTATTGGCGTGGACATGGATCAGTAGGAACTCATATACATGGCTGGTGTGAACGTAAACTGGTACAACCACCTTGGAAAACGATTTGGTAATATCTTATAAAGTTGGGCATTCATATACCCTCTGACCTTGCGATCCTACTCTTCGGTACACACGCTACAGAAACTCTTGCACATGTATTCAATATATTGTTTAGGCATACTTACATATGGATAAAACTATTGAATAAAGACCAAGGGAATGAGAAACACATCCCCTCCCTGGAAGCGAGAGAATGAGATAGGGAGGGGGAGACGTGTAGGTACATGCAAGATAATGGCGATATTCTCTTTCTTGTGTTGTGTGGCAAGTTTGATGGTATAAGGAAATACAGATTCAACTCATTTAATTAATTAATTAAATTTAAAAAGCTGCTACTTTTAAATTAAATACTTACCAATTCAAGGTTGTCCTGGGGGAAATTCACCTTAACAGACTTAAGGTATATGTGGTACAAATATTCATAATCCACCAATCTCAAAAACCGATGATTCAGTAATTTGACTTTCAGGGGGCAGTGGCTAATGAAATGCATTTCATTTTGATAAAAATTTTAACATTGTTGCACATAAGCTCTTTTCTTTTAGGGATTAAGCATATGGTAAACATGATATTCTGTTTTAAATGCTTTTAGGGAGATAAAAGTATTCTGTGGATGATCTATTTTACCAAAGACTTGCAAATCTAACACAGCTATCTGAGAGTAAAATGCCAAATAATGGCATGAAAACATTAAAGCATTTTTGTCCTTTTCAAACAAGTACAATGACCTACTGGATAAATAAATCAAATTTTCTTTCCAGAATGAGGGCATTATAATGCTTTCCAAAAAATTCTAATTTTTTTTTACTAAGCAGAGAAGATACCTAAATGGCAAAAAGCCTGATTCAAAGCTGTGCTCCTCATGGTACACATCGTACCATGACTAAGAAGCTTTCAAATTAATGAAAAACAGCGTAAAGAGGTGGCAACATGAGCTATTGACAAAACTCCTGTTCAGAGGGGTGTTGCATTAATGTCAAAGGCGTACCAGGAAGACGAGCAGTAACTGGGACACGCTTTGCTTAATAGTTCTGCTAGTGTTTTGCTTAACAGTTTAGCAAAACAGTGATGAGTATGAAACAATGTTTAGAAAATGCATGGTATACAAACGAGGGAGAAGTACTTGATTATTTTTTGTCCTATTAGTTTCATAAGAGGAGGGATTTTTAAATGCAGTGGAAGCTATTATTGGCATCTTTAAAAACCGTTTTCCAAAACTGCCAAGAGAACATGAAGACACATTTTCCAGAGCGGAAAGCAAACAAGTAGACTAAGACTCCAACCCATCACCCTCTCCCTGGATGAAACCCTCAGCCTCCCAGGTTCTGAGCATGGTAGGCAGGCTCATGAGCACCCCGAAAGCAGTCATCCGTTGCTATGGATTGAATTGTGTCCTCCTAAAAGTTAGGTGGAAGTCCTAACCCCTGTATTTGTAAATAGAACCTTGTTTGGAAATCGGGGTTTTCTTTTGTTATGTTAGTGAGGTCATGTCAGAGTAAACCCGTTGCTGTCGACCCTATAGGACAGAGTAGAACTGCCTCATAGGGTTTCCAAGGAGCACCTGGTGGATTAGAACTGCCGACCTTTTGGTTAGCAGCCATAGCACTTAACCACTATGCCACCATGGTTTCCCTACCAGAGTAAAGTGGGTCCTAAACCCAATCATTTCTGAGACGGGTCTTATAAAAAGAGCAGAATAGACACAGTGACACTTTACAGAGGGAAGAGACCATCTGAGGAACCATCTGTAAGCCAACGAATACCTGGGGCTACCGACAAGGAAGGCTCCTTCCCCAGAGCTGATGTCCTGATTTGGACTTCTAGCCTCCAAAACTGTGAGACAATTAATTTCTGTGTAATTTTTTGCATGCAGCACTAGATAATGAACTCAGCTCCTAATAGAAAGGTTGGAGGTTCAAGTCCACTCAGAGGCACCTGCGAAGAAAGGCCTGGTGATCTACTTCTGAAAAATCAGCCATTAAAAACCCCATGGAGCACAGTTCTACTCTGACATACAAGGGGCCACCATGCGTTGCAGTAGACTTGACAGCAACTTATTGTCTCTGACTCAGGCTTTCCTTTTTATCCATTCATCCCGCTTTCCATCAGCCATTCATCCACCTGCTCAATAAATGTCTCTTAAGCGCCTATTATGCCCAAGAGCCAGCAAGCCTTCTGTGGCTCCACGGAGTTGCATCTTACCACAAAGTTGTCAACTCCGTTCTGGAGTCCTGCATGTGTGCTAAAATCAAAGCTGCTCCCAGTGGTTTAGAGTCCTATGGTTTGGCAGAGCTGGTCTGGTAGTTTAGCGTGAACCTGCAGCAGACAGGCTAAAGGAAATAGTGTTGAGCCTCGAACAAACCACACTGGGAGTGTGGGAATGCTCACAAGGATTGGAAATACTAAACCCACCCAAGTTGCGGGCTTCCTCAGTCCTGTCAGACAAACTCTTGTAGACACTTGGCATTTGCGGTGTGGGTGCTGACGGGGGTAGACAGGTCATGGCCACAACCAGGCAGGACTTTGTGACTCAGCAAAAGAGGTATCTTCTCAACCCAGCCAGACCCGGGGAGAGCCAGGCTTTGGGAACAGCCAGCTGAGGTTAGGTAACAGGCAGGCTTTTCTTCCCAGCTACTCCTCAGTCCCCATGTCCAGACGTTTGCTGGGTGACACCATGGTAACCGTGATGCCACAATGGAACATTCTTCACAAGGTGGTAGAAGAAATCCCTGTGTTGAGCTCTGCTGTGTAAGGCCAGAGTGAGTTCATTTCTCCTTTAGCAGAAGCAGTTCACAGAAGAACTCTGCGAGCCATCCTGAAGACAAGAAACATCCGGTGTCATGAGCGGAACATGGTGACTTGGGGCTGCACCAGCGAGTCCCTTAGGCTATTGTGCATTGTTTGAGGCAAAGGTTTAGGCCTGGTGGTATGGCATATGGAGAAGCATGCCTGGGCTTTGGATGCAGACAGACCTGAGTTGGAATCCCACTAGCTGTGTGATGATCTTGGGCAGGCTATTGGATGTCTCTGAGCATCAGTTTCTGAATCTGTAAAATGGGGATAACCATAGTGTCTGCCTCACGGGATTATTGTGGGGGTTAACTAAGCTACATGCTGTGCTGTTACTATTTCAAAGTACTAGCTGTTACTAGTTAAAAGCAACCCACAGAGTTGACCTTAAGCCTGGTGTGGCCCTGTGCTAATCCCCTGCCTTTGTTTTCAGCAGCGTTTCATGGTGACAGAGTTAAGGTTGAATTCCAAGAGTCAAAAAACAACCCTTTCCAGAAACCCAACTTTCTAGGAAGCCCAGGCAGGGCTCAGGCTGGATTGAGGAGAAAACGGACCAGCGTGTGTTGCCGTCTCTCATTGGGCCAAACTTATAGATCGCTAACCGAATACCAGTGCTGGACAGCTGGACCCTGCCTCTTTACTGCACGGGACTGCACAATAGGGACATGACAGGTCCGCTTCTCAAGTCCTGGAACCTTGCCGGCAGAAAGGAAGGCGGCAGGACCTCTGACGTTGGGGGAGGGAGGGAGAACCCTGTCTGTGTTGGGGAAGATGACAGAACTGTTGGCTTTTCTGTCTTCTCAGCTGCCCATGGTGTCTGCCGCAGTTCTCTTTGGGGATGGCAGAGATGAGAGGCGTGCTCTTGTTACTGCTCTATGTTTCCCACTCTTCTGCCAGTGAGTACGGCGTCTTCTGGGATGGCTTTGGTTGAACGCGTAACACGGCTGAGGGGGTATCATCAGGCAAACAAAATGGTCCTTAATGCCCAGAGATGGAGGGACTCTGGGGGCAGATGACTCACAGCTTTGCTCTGGGCAGCGTGCATTGGTGGCAGGATCAGGAAAAGATGTGGGGCGTGGACGTAGGAAACTGTGACCTTGGCAGCCTAGTGTCAGGTCCGTCCTTAGGGCGGGAGTACGGATAGGGGAATAAGCTGTAGGCTAAGGAAAGGACCCTTGGACAAAGAGGGTCAGCAAGAAGCCTGCCTCCCTGCTCATAGCCCTTGCCCTGCTCTTCCCAGGGCACATCCGCCAGGTGTTGTCAGATCGGGGACGTCCTCCCTGCGCCTGGGCAGAGAGTGGGGCATGGGATGCATCTGGTGCACCTGGGACCCAGTTCCTCTACTCGCTTATACCTCAGCATTGCTGTTGCAATGAAGCCTTTATAATTAAATCAAAAGCGTGTCTAACCCCCAATTGCAGGGCTTGTCCCAGGAGCAGGGAAGGCAGGTGGCCTGGGCTTCTACTGTGACTCATGCCATGGCGACTGCAGGAGCCTCCGAGATGGCAGAAATGATAGCTATAGTCCCCTCTCCTTCCTCCAGGTCATCCAGGACTAAGAATTCCAGCCTAGAAGGGGCAGTGAAGAGGGGGCATCTGACTGAAGCAGGCTCTGTCCCTCTCTCTGCCCTCCAGCTGGTTCTGTCCCACTTGTCTGGGGTTGGATGGGAGACACAAGAGAACCCCACATACAGATGCACACACAGTCACACACAAAGAAGGGAACCCTCCACCTTCCTTAGTCTTCTCCACTTCCTTGCCCTCCTTGCACCCCCAAGGAGCCCAGAGGATGCCCAGAAACACACAGAAAGGGCCCTGGGTCCTCTCTTCTTCTTAAAACACCACAGCCAAGGTTCCCAGGGCCGATGTTTTGTCTTTAGGTCAGATTTCCTCACTCGGTCCTGGCCTTCCCGGGGTTTTGTGAGGTCAGATGAGCTAGCGGACCAGAGCTTTGAAAAAGCACGTGCATAGGTTCTTGCTGGGTTCGGAACCAGAAAAGCCAGACCTATTGCTGGGTCCCGAAGGACTGCTTAATGCCTTGCTCACCCGCCATGGGTTACGAATGTCCTAAGAAAAAATCAGACAGAGGATGAGGAGCCTGTTCTTTGGTGATTCTGAGACACTTAACAGCCTTGCAGACATCATCTTGCCAACGACCAGCTCTGTTCATAGTTCCAGCAAAGTCTCCAAGTGTCAGTTAATAAAGATGTTCGGTTGGCATGATGCCTTACATTAGAGAGGTCCTCTATAGCCCTTTAGTGATTTTAAAAGATTGTAAAGCTTGTATCTTTCTGTATTTACCATATTTGAAATTAAAACAGAGAAGATTTTAAAACACAGGAATACACAATCGCAGGATAACTTCAGTAGCCTCTGGAAAATTCTACTACATACTCAGGAGAGAATGAGAGTGACAAACAGCAAAGACGTCTTAGTGTTCTTACGAAAATGCTTGTTAACTATTAGGAGGCCCCCAAAAGGCTCTTTGGAACCCCTCCGAGGTCTCTAGAATACTAGAATACACTTTGAGAACTGCTAATGTACATAGATTTTACATACGGCCTAGCACATAAACACTTTTTCTTTTTTCCAGTCACCGTGAAGTCAACTCTGACTCATGTTGACCCCACGTGTGTCAGAGTAGAACTGTGCTCCACACGGTTTT